CAATGTGTCTCTCTGTATGGTGCACGGTTGCAGTATTATAAGGATTAAGATGCCGCAGTGCCCTAGGCACCTAATCACTTCATATGAGGATGGGAATTATGGGCAAAGCTTTGCCAAGTACCTTCTAACACTTGACACACAATAGGACACCTTGTGAGTAATCCAGCTTAGCTAGGAAGAAGGTGACAATCTGTGTTCTTGGTGTCAAGGTAGGAAGATTTAGTAGTGAGATGTCTACTGCAGTAGCAGGTGAGGTAGTAGTGAGATGCCTGGGTGTTGAAGAAGGTCCATGGGAGCTGAACATTTTCATGAGATACTGCAGCAGCCCACCCGGTTCTTGGATTGCTCCCTTACTACTTATGGCCAGAGGACAGGAGCAATAGAAACACATTGGCCTCATTCTTCCTGCATGGTCTCAGATATGACAATTTGGTGTTGCACTAAAGTGGTTACCAGAGTACACATCAATATGACACCCAGAGCATATATCCCGCCCGTCCACGTCACACCCAGAGCACGTATCCCGCCTGTCTACATCACACCCAGAGCACGTAATGCGCTTGCCCCTCCCTTCACACGTACCCGCCTACGTCACACCCAGAGCATACACCCCGCTCGCCTGTCCCATTAAGAGCACGTTCACCCCGCCAGTCACATCCACACCCCGAACACGTACCCCACTTGTCCATGTCACACCCAGTCCACGTACCCTGCCTGCCCAAAACATCACATCCATCGCACTAATACCAAGCACAAGTCTGTCCTTATCACATCCAAAGCACACACGGCCAGTCCGTGTTGCATACACAACTCAAGTTCCATTTCCCATACAGAACGTATACACTGAGCTGCCCAAAGCAAACCCTGCAAGAGCACATCATGAAACACCTGTGCGACCTCTAACTCTCTCCACTGGCAGCTGTAGGATACAGTGCAACCTCTTCCCCTCTCTCCACTGGCAGCTGTAGGATACAGTGCAACCTCTTCCCCTCTCTCCACTGGCAGCTGTAGGATACAGTGTGACACCTCTCTCCCCCAGTCCGTGTGTGGACTGCAACTGCAAATAAAAAAAACAACCCACACTCAATGAATACTATTCTACCAAACTACTTCCCTAATAATATCCTTACCTTTTGTGTCATCATACCACAATCCCTCTACCATGTAAACTCATTGAGCAGGCCCTCAATCCCGCAGTTACTGTGTCACTATAACCCACTCCCTCTACCATGTAACCTCACTGAGCAGGCCCTCAATCCCTCTGTTACTGTGTCACTATACCCCACTCCCTCTAACATGTAAACTCACTGAGCAGGCCCTCAATCCCTCTGTTACTGTGTCACTATACCCCCCTCCCTCTAACATGTAAACTCACTGAGCAGGGCCCTCAATCCCTCTGTTACTGTGTCACTATACCCCACTCCCTCTAGCATGTAAACTCACTGAGCAGGGCCCTCAATCCCTCTGTTACTGTGTCACTATACCCACTCCCTCTAACATGTAAACTCACTGAGCAGGCCCTCAATCCCTCTGTTACTGTGTCACTATACCCCACTCCCTCTAACATGTAGACTCACTGAGCAGGGCCTCAATCCCTCTGTTACTGTGTCACTATACCCCACTCCCTCTAACATGTAAACTCACTGAGCAGGCCCTCAATCCCTCTGTTGCTGTGTCACTATACCCCACTCCCTCTAGCATGTAAACTCACTGAGCAGGGCCTCAATCCCTCTCTTGCTGTGTCACTATACCCCACTCCCTCTAGCATGTAAACTCACTGAGCAGGGCCTCAATCCCTCTGTTGCTGTGTCACTATACCCCACTCCCTCTAACATGTAAACTCACTGAGCAGGACCTCAATCCCTCTGTTACTGTGTCACTATACCCCACTCCCTCTAACATGTAAACTCACTGAGCAGGGCCCTCAATCCCTCTGTTACTGTGTCACTATGCCCCACTCCATCTAGCATGTAAGCTCATCGAGCAGGGTCCTCAACCCCCTCTGTTACTGTGTCACTATACCCCACTCTCTCTAACATGTAAACTCACTGAGCAGGGCCTCAATCCCTCTGTTACTGTGTCACTATACCCCACTCCCTCTAACATGTAAACTCACTGAGCAGGGCCCCCGATCCCTCTGTTACTGTGTCACTGTACCCCACTCCCTCTAACATGTAAACTCACTGAGCAGGGCCCTCGATCCCTCTGTTACTGTGTCACTATACCCCACTCCCTCTAACATGTAAACTCACTGAGCAGGGCCCTCAATCCCTCTGTTACTGTGTCACTATACCCCACTCCCTCTAACATGTAAACTCACTGAGCAGGCCCTCAATCCCTCTGTTACTGTCACTATACCCCACTCCCTCTAACATGTAAACTCACTGAGCAGGGCCCTCAATCCCTCTGTTACTGTGTCACTATACCCCACTCCCTCTAACATGTAAACTCACTGAGCAGGGCCCTCAATCCCTCTGTTACTGTGTCACTATACCCCACTCCCTCTAACATGTAAACTCACTGAGCAGGGCCTCAATCCCTCTGTTACTGTGTCACTATACCCCACTCCCTCTAACATGTAAACTCACTGAGCAGGCCCTCAACTCCTCTGTTACTGTGTCACTATACCCCACTCCCTCTAACATGTAAACTCACTGAGCAGGACCCTCAATCCCTCTGTTACTGTGTCACTATACCCTACTCCCTCTAACATGTAAACTCACTGAGCAGACCCTCAATCCCTCTGTTACTGTCACTATACCCCACTCCCTCTAACATGTAAACTCACTGAGCAGGGCCCTCAATCCCTCTGTTACTGTGTCACTATACCCCACTCCCTCTAAAATGTAAACTCACTGAGCAGGCCCTCTATCCCTATGTTACTGTGTCACTATACCCCACTCCCTCTAACATGTAAACTCACTGAGCAGGCCCTCTATCCCTCTGTTACTGTGTCACTATACCCCACTCCCTCTAACATGTAAACTCACTGAGCAGGCCCTCAATCCCCTTGTTACTGTGTCACTATACCCCACTCCCTCTAACATGTAAACTCACTGAGCAGGGCCCTCAATCCTCTGTTACTGCTCACTATACCCCACCTCCCTAACATGTAAATCCTTACTGAGCAGGGGACTCCCAATCCTCTGTTACTGTGTGTCACTATACCCTACTCCCTCTAACATGTAAACTCTCACTGGAGCAGGCCCCCTCAATCCCTCTGTTACTGTCACTATACCCCACTCCCTCTAACATGTAAACTCACTGAGCAGGGACCTCAATCCTCTGTTACTGTGTGTCACTATACCCCACTCCCTCTCCAATATAAACTCACTGAGCAGGCCCTCAATCCCTCTGTTACTGTGTCACTATACCCCACTCCCTCTAACATGTAAACTCACTCTGTTACTGTCACTATACCCCACTCCCCCTAACATGTAAACTCACTGAGCAGGCCCTCAATCCCTCTGTTACTGTGTCACTATACCCCACTCCCTCTAACATGTAAACTCACTGAGCAGGCCCTCCATCCCTCTGTTACTCTGTCACTATACCCCACTCCCTCTAACATGTAAACTCACTGAGCAGGGCCCTCAATCCCTCTGTTACTGTGTCACTATACCCCACTCCCTCTAACATGTAAACTCACTGAGCAGGGCCCTCAATCCCTCTGTTACTGTCACTATACCCCAACTCCCTCTAACATGTAAACTCACTGAGCAGGCCCTCAATCCCTCTGTTACTGTGTCACTATACCTCACTCCCTCTAACATGTAAACTCACTGAGCAGGCCCTCAATCCCTCTGTTACTGTCACTATACCCCACTCCCTCTAACATGTAAACTCACTGAGCAGGGACTCAATCCCTCTGTTACTGTGTCACTATACCCCACTCCCTCTAACATGTAAACTCACTGAGCAGGGCCCTCAATCCCTCTGTTACTGTGTCACTATACCCCACTCCCTCTAACATGTAAACTCACTGAGCAGGGCCCTCGATCCCTCTGTTACTGTCACTATACCCCACTACCTCTAACATGTAACTCACTGAGCAGGGTCCTCGATCCCTCTGTTACTGTGTCACTATACCCCACTCCCTCTAACATGTAAACTCACTGAGCAGGGCCCTCAATCCCTCTGTTCCTGTATGTCCAACTTGTCTGGTTACATATACGTACCTGTTAGTCCACCCGTTGTACACCACTGCGGAATTTGTTGGCGCTATATAAATAATAATATTGTCCACCTCTTATAGTTTCATTCAGTGATATTTCAAACCCCTAATGCATGAAACAAAGTAAACAACACATTTAAATACAACAAACCAAGTTTTATTTACAGAAAAAAGAAAAACTAAAAATAGTTGCAAATAAAAATGGACAACATGGACATACAGGTGATTTTCAGACTTTAATATTGTGCAAAGCGTACAGCGATAAAATAGGCAGAAGATCCCCCTCTTCCCATCCTGCAGGTTACATGAAGGAGATAATTACACACAGCGAAGTGTGCTCAGGCCATCCGCATGACACCCCCGGACCAATGGAAGGGATAAACCAGCCATTTATAGCCCACCTTACCATTACTGTACTGTGTATGGGCCACTCGGTCTTTATCAAAAAGCTTCATAGAAAATGGTGCTCAGCTTTGGACAGCAGCAAGAGCTGGAGGAGTTTCCGCCCCGTACTCACATAATCACAGAATCATTTCTGTCCTAATTTAGACACAAGTGGCTAGATAAAGCAAAGGTGAAATTACCAACAAAAAAAACCCCAAACCCAGTGACTGCACCGATATGTTTCTTGCACCATAAGCCGTATAATAAACTGTAATAATGGTTTTTAGAGAGTCCATGTAAACACAAGAGAGCTTGCTGCTCTGCAATGCCAGAACCGAGGGACAGCTCAACAAGGTCACTACAGGAGAATCAGGCAGGGCAGGAGGTTCTTGGTTATCGAGAACACTCCTACCCAAACTAGCTGGAACCTCTGCCTAACACCACAACCACCTGTTATTTCTTCTTCCAAGAAATGCAGCCACTACACGTCAACAATGCTGCACCTCCAAGACACCTACTGCAAATGTGAACTGCAACTTCTATCCTCCCACAATATGCAGCTATTATAGTGTGGGCTATAATCTCCTACCATTATATCAGCTCCCACCCCACAGGTATACTTTGCTCCCATTACACACGCAGCTCCCACCCCACAGGGTCATACTCTCCTCCCATTATACACACACAACTTCCACCCCATAGGTTTATACTCTCCTCCCATTATACACACACAGCTTCCACCCCATAGGTTTATACTCTCCTCCCATTACACACGCAGCTCCCACCCCATAGGTTTATACTCTCCTCCCATTACACACGCAGCTCCCACCCCATAGGTTTATACTCTCCTCCCATTACACACGCAGCTCCCACCCCATAGCTTTATACTCTCCTCCCATTACACACGCAGCTCCCACCCCATAGCTTTATACTCTCCTCCCATTACACACGCAGCTCCCACCCCATAGCTTTATACTCTTCTCATTACAAACGCAGTGGCCACCCCACAGGGTTATACTCTCCTACCATTATAAATGCAGCTCCTACCCCACGGTGTCATCTGCTCCTCTCATTATACACACAGTTCCTTCTCCTCCCATTATACACACACAGTTCCCATCCCAGGGAGTTATACTTTGGCACTCCAGAAGTTGTATACTACATCTCCCTTGATGCTTTGCCAGCATTATGGAATATGTAGTCCACAACATCTGAAGTGCCAAATGTTGCCTACCCCTTACCTACCCCATGGTTAGTCACACTGCAACTGCACACAGTCACAAGAGGTTACACACAGCTCCTATCATTTGACCTACATGCAGTTCCTACCATTTAATCCAAAAAGGAACTCCTCCCACATAACTTTTATACTACTGCCAATAGACAGGCGCCTCTTACCACGATGATTAATCTCCTGCTCTAAAATGAAGCTTTTCTGACATTGATTTTGATTTCTTCCAAGAAGCAATGCTTACAATGAATGTTTTGGAGTACAGTAAGCAATTTACAGCCGCTTTAAAAACAGGATCTGCCTACCTCAGACTACTACAGACTTCAGACACCTCCTAGGGCCCAAACAACGTGCAAGTATCAAAGCTCAGCCCTCCACTAGGATTCCCTCTTGTATCAGCATAAAGCTACACTAAAGCTGCCGCCCCCATCATGATCTGATGGGACCAGATAAGAGGATATAAGAATGCTTGTATGATTCCTCCCTTCCTGCAACAAAATGGGGAGAATGAAGCAATGTTTAGGGGAACCTGCGGATATTTCTGACAGTGTTGTCTCGGATGCATATTGAGATATGCAAGTAGTTAGTTATGACGCTGTAGAGTTCTAGTGTAAACAATACAGATATAGCTACCTTGCTCACTATGTTCCTCCACTGCAATACAAATGCCTGTAACGCAGAGCACTGGAAAGACAGCTAAACGCACACGAACAGCGCCACGCCATGCGGATTGAGTTCTAGCTCCGTACAGCATTATTACTGTAGTTTGAGTGGCAGGGAGAGAGTTAAAGGAGCATATTCCAAACAAGGGAGAGGCCTGTGATAAAGACAGCAGTAATAAACCCACCCCTTGCACGACGATTTCACCCACCCTCTGATCAGCTGAGTTCTGAATACGCCAATATTATATAATATAGTAAACCAAGAGCTGAATGAGCCTGGGGTTACTAATGCATGAATCTCAGCATTTCCAGTACCCATTAGGTGGCAGTTTAATGCATTAATTCAAAGTTCTCTTCACATTATGAATGAATAAATGAGTTTGGATAACCATGTGTGTCATATGCAGAATGCGTTCTTTGTGTAAACAGGGTAACAGGACAAGCCTCACCCACATTCAATGCCACACAATGGCCCTGGCATGAGACAGACCAGGAGAAAGAAAAGGCTCCACCCACAGCCGGAACGCAGGATAACACTCAGCGGAGCAGCAGAAGCAGACTACCATGTGAATATAGATCAGAAAATCGTTCTGCGCTGGGCATGAACCCCCGGCAGCTGGACACTATTTACATCCCAAGATGTGACTATTCAGGACCTCCGCACCGCTGCAGAGAAGGATTATGGAAGTCCAGACTTTAACGCGGCGATGTCCTCACTGGTGTTGCTGCCAGAAAGACATGGCTATGATGAAACCGTCACAGCTGTCATGTTACCGTTGCGAGCAAAGTAAAATTTGCTAAAAGCGTCTTCAAGTAAAGATGCAAGTCTATTCTGGTCAGCCTGTAGGGAGAGAGGGAAGATTAGTGAGTGACAACATGGACCTCCAGCCAGCAATCAAGCTCTTCACACAGCAGTCAAGCACAGCTTTACCCAGATAGCTCCAACCCAGCCAACACCAAAACAAACCAACAAACCTGCAGTCACATGCAAAGTGTACCTACCTCACTAACAAATCCCAACTGGACAAGCTCTGCGGCCAGCTCCGGAATGTTCTCATCTATGAAACAGAACACATCTTATCAATACAGCGACCCTAACCTAGCATGGACAAGACGAGTCAACAAGCAGGACAAACATTGCTATCCCTAGCATGGACAAGACGAGTCAACAAGCAGGACAAACATTGCTATCTCTAGCATGGACAAGACGAGTCAACAAGCAGGACAAACATTGCTATCCCTAGCATGGACAAGACGAGTCAACAAGCAGGACAAACATTGCTATCCCTAGCATGGACAAGACGAGTCAACAAGCAGGACAAACATTGCTATCCCTAGCATGGACAAGACGAGTCAACAAGCAGGACAAACATTGCTATCCCTAGCATGGACAAGACGAGTCAACAAGCAGGACAAACATTGCTATCCCTAGCACGGACTAAACGGGTCAGCAAGCAGGACAAACATTGCTATCCCTAGCATGGACAAGACGAGTCAACAAGCAGGACAAACATTGCTATCCCTAGCATGGACAAGACGAGTCAACAAGCAGGACAAACATTGCTATCCCTAGCACGGACTAAACGGGTCAGCAAGCAGGACAAACATTGCTATCCCTAGCACAGACAAGACGGGTCAGCAAGCAGGACAAACATTGCTATCCCTAGCACAGACAAGACGGGTCAGCAAGCAGGACAAACATTGCTATCCCTAGCACAGACAAGACGGGTCAGCAAGCAGGACAACAGACATTGCTATCCCTAGCACAGACTAGACTGGTCAACAAGCAGGACAAACATTGCTATCCCTAGCACAGACAAGACGGGTCAGCAAGCAGTACAAACATTGCTATCCCTAGCACAGACTAGACTGGTCAACAAGCAGGACAAACATTGCTATCCCTAGCACAGACAAGACGGGTCAGCAAGCAGGACAAACATTGCTATCCCTAGCACAGACAAGACGGGTCAGCAAGCAGGACAAACATTGCTATCCCTAGCAGAGACAAGACGGGTCAGCAAGCAGGACAAACATTGCTATCCCTAGCACAGACTAGACTGGTCAACAAGCAGGACAAACATTGCTATCCCTAGCACAGACAAGACGGGTCAGCAAGCAGGACAAACATTGCTATCCCTAGCACAGACAAGACGGGTCAGCAAGCAGGACAAACATTGCTATCCCTAGCACAGACTAGACTGGTCAACAAGCAGGACAAACATTGCTATCCCTAGCACAGACAAGACGGGACAGCAAGCAGGACAAACACTGCTATCCCTAACACGGACCGTACAGGAAGTCAGCTATCCCTAACATGGACAAGACGGGTCAGCAAGCAGCACAAACATTGCTATCCCTAGCATGGACAAGACTGTAAGTAAGCAGGACAAACATTGCTATCCCTAGCACGGACCGTACAGAAGTCAGCAAGTGTTCCTTGAAACACTAATGAAACATACTGAGTCATTTGAAAGAAGCTACTCACTGGGAAGGAGGTCACAGCTTAAATGTCTGTTCAATTTATCTTCTAGCTTTAGTAACAAAGTGAGCTGTGGAGAAAGAATGCGTGATTAGAACATGGAGACTGCGGTGGGGACTGCAGTTTTGTTTTTTAACCTTTTCAATGCTACCTGTCCTGTAAGAAATGGGCAACTACATCCCATTTGTTTTCACTGCTGCTTGGACGTTTGGAAAAAGTAGGTTGCTATAAAGGTTTTCTGACCCATCAGATCAATACGCCCCCTCCCCTCCCCCACTGTGCTTACTACAGCCCATCAGATCAATATCCCCCCCCACTGTGCTTACTACAGCCCATCAGATCAATACGCCCCCTCCCCTCCCCAACTGTGCTTACTACAGCCCATCAGATCAATACGCACCGTCCCCTCCTCCATTGTGCTTACTACAGCCCATCAGATCAATACCTCGTGCCCCCACTGTGCTTACTTCAGACCATCAGATCAATACCCTCCCCCTCACACTGTGCTTACTACAGCCCATCAGATCAATACCCCGTGCCACTACTGTGCTTACTACAGCCCATCAGATCAATAAGCCCCACTGTGCTTACTACTGCCCATCAGATCAATAAGCCCCACTGTGCTTACTACTGCCCATCAGATCAATAAGCCCCACTGTGCTTACTACTGCCCATCAGATCAATAAGCCCCACTGTGCTTACTACTGCCCATCAGATCAATAAGCCCCACTGTGCTTACTACTGCCCATCAGATCAATAAGCCCCACTGTGCTTACTACTGCCCATCAGATCAATAAACCCCACTGTGCTTACTACTGCCCATCAGATCAATAAGCCCCACTGTGCTTACTACTGCCCATCAGATCAATACCCCCCCACTGTGCTTACTACCATCAGATCAATAAGCCCACTGTGCCTACTACCCATCAGATCAATACCCCCACTGTTGCTTTCTACAGCCCATCAGGGTCAATACCCCTGTGCTTTACTACAGCCCATCAGATCAATACCCGTGCCCCACTTCTGTGCTACTACAGCCATCAGATCAATACCCGTACTTTACTGTATACTACAGCCCATCAGATCAATACCCCCACTGTATGCTTACTACAGCCCATCAGATCAATACCCCCCACTGTACTTACTACAGCGTAAGATCAATACCCCCCCTCTGTACTTACTACAGCCCCCACTGTGCTTACTACAGCCCATCAGATCAATACCCCCCACTGTGCTTACTACAGCCCATCCGATTAATAACCCCCCGCCCCCCATGCTTACTACAGTCCATCAGATCAATACCCTCCCCCCACCCATAAAAGAGTAACATTGGAGCCCAATAAGTCAATACAAAAAGACAACAACTTTATGGCAAACATATCAAAAGGTGGTGCTTACATGGTGCTTGGCGCCTTCCTCGACAGACTCTATATTACATTGCATCTGTACGGCCTGAAACAAACACAAACTGTCAAAAAGATCACACAATAGTCTTTTATACAGTCATTAAAAGGAGGGAGAGTGAGGGGCAGTGAGACACAGCGGCCATTTATACAGTCACTGGATATGGAGATATTGCACATCATCAGTCGATGTCTAAAATGGGATAGTGGATTGAGAATGGCCCACTCCAATCTTTGTTTGAGGGATGAAAATAGCAGCAGACCGGCTAACCTTGCGGGTTTCCACCTCGGCAGGTTCGGGTGTTGGTGTCTTCACAGAAGGTGGGACCACAGGTGACTTAACCACCTCCTGCTGCGGCTGCTGAGGCCTTGGAATCCCAAATGCTGTGAGCGGGTAAATACTGTTTCTGGAACAAATAAGAATGGCTGCAAAAGTTGGTATGTATTAGACCAAACCAGGAAACTCCCCCCCACTCTTTTCCAGAACAGTTTCTGCACACCACGCCCCCCACAGCAGTTTCTGCTCCCCCTCCCCCCACACAATTTTCTGCCCCCTCTAACACAGTTTCAGGGCACACCCCCCCAGCACAGTTTCTGGGCACAGCCCCCAGCACAGTTTCTGGGCACCAGCACCAGCACCATCCCCAGCACGGATTCTGGGCGCCAGCCCCCTTTACTACACACACACTGTACACTACTGGCATGCAGACTTACTTACCTGACATCTTCTAGAAACTTGTCTAGTTCTAGAGCAGGAGACTGAGAGAATCTAAAAAGGAGACAAAACAAATACCCAATTTAGTTCACATGCCTCGTGCTCTCTCTGGATTTTAGTTAATTAATAGTTTAATTATAAAAATTGCAGACACATGGCTGTGACAACATGTGAAACCATTGTGTGTGTGTGTCAATGTCGCGTTCTTCTAGCCCCATCAACCAAAAACACAGACATAGACACACACCTTGTCCCGTTAGTCCTATTAGTAACTGATTTTCTATAGCGATGGAATGGGTAACTGATAAGTAGTTCACAAACAAGATACTAACACAGACAACAGGAGAAGGCAGCCTACCCCCCAAAAGCTTACAATTTATTCATGGGGTGGGGGAAACCTGAAGGAGAAAATAAAATAATTGAATAGTTAAAAAAATAAATACAGCCAGGGCCACAATGGACCTTCTAGGACAACTGTTCTGTGAACAAATAATTTCCCAGAAATTCCCAGATTATTAGTCAGCCACGTTCGCCCTATCAGCTACCAATTACTTCCTGTGAGGATAACTGGTTTAACCGATGTACGTGAACAAATCGCCTACACTTGAGCAGCTAAAAGAGTGCTAGAGATACAAACATTAAATGGACACTACAGTCACCAAAACAACTTTATCATAATGAAACAGTTATAATGTATAGATCATGTCCCTGCAGTCTCACAGCTCAAATTTTACTACATGAGACTACCAACCCGTCATCAACTCAATGGTTCTGTGGCATATCGACACTTCACGATGGAAGGTATCCATCTCTTACGAGATCTCCTCCTTGCAAATTACTGGTTCATGCATTTGGACTTGAAGGACGTGTACCTGTCCGTCTCCATAGCACTAAGGAGCCGCCCATTCCTTTGCTTCATTTGGCAGGACCGACCATGCCAATTCATGTGCCTGCCATTCGGTCTCAGGCCTGTCCCACGGTGCTTAACAAAACTTCTGAGGCTGGTCATGTCGCACCTACGAGCAAAGGGAACCCGCTGTCTCATCTATTTGGAAGACATGCTGATATTCTGCGAACCCGCATCTAGACCGATTTCAAACGAGATTTATAGTTCGGTTTCTCGAATATCTGGGATCTGTAGTTATCAGACAGAAATCGGCATTATCTCCATCCCGAGTAATCCAATTCCTCGGATTCGAAATAGACTCGAGAACATGCGTGCTACGATTCCCCACTTCAAAAATAGCCGCAATTCAAAAGGAGATACTGTACTTCAGAAAGACAACAACCCTCTTCGACTCCTTGCCAGAGTAGTGGGACTGCTGTCTTCTTCCATCTAAGTGATCTTCCCGGTCCTGTCGCACTACCGGGCCATTCAGCGGCTGAAGGCCCATTAACTGCAATCCGGACACTCATACGACCACTGGATACCGGTCTTGGCAGAGGATATGAACAAAGCTGCTTTGGTGGCTACTACACATGGAAGCCAGGAACGGCAGACCCATCTTCAGATCAACTCCAGATTTCATAGTGGAGGCGGACGCCAGCCTTTGGGGTTGGTGAGCATATTGCGCACATGTCTCCTTCATATAAACTGCCTGGAATTGATCGTGGGATCATTGGCTATCCGCAGTCTAGCCAAGAACATGTCCAATTGCTGTATCCTCTTACGCATGGACAATATCTCAGTGGTTCAATACATAAACCGCCTGGGCGAGCCAGATCACGTGCCCTGATGGTGGTGACAAGAGACATTTATCGATTCTGTCTTCCCCACAACATCACGATCAGAGCGGAGTGTCTCCCAGGGATCAGCAACCTCACGGCGGACTAGTTCTCTCACCACTGGCGAGACAGCACCGGGATCTATGAAGAGTGACTATAATCCCTTTACATCACCTATCACCGTGGTATTAAATTTTCTAACTCCCCTTTTTTCATCGGGTCGTTCTTACCACTCCATTTTTGTGATTCGGTCAGCGATTTCGGCGGCTCACGTACCACTTTGGGGCATCCCTGTCGGACAGGACTGTAACGGACTGTTTTGCTCACAAGGGGTAAAAACCGTTTAGGCGATCGTCCCTCTTTCCAGAGACACAGGCACAGCTACTGCAGAACACCAATCCGCCGAACAGGAAACCATATGAATGCTGTAAACAGCCGAATAGGAAAAACCATACGAATAGGTTTACACTCCTAGCAGTCAAACTGGAACAGCATACAATAAATCCCCCCAAGAACGAGACAAAGCTCCGTGTTGAGGGTCAAGCAGTGAACAGCCAGAGCTGTGGGTTTATTGTGCTTATGTACACATTAGTACCACCCACAGGGTTTTGGAACACAACCAATAAACACATACAATACACTCAGACACTCCCACACAAATTCCTCCCCTCTGCATGTGATTCAATTATCGTACACAATGGTTAATGTAATTTAGCACAAGCAGAGAAATACAATTTTTCCACATTATTCATAACTTGAAAAGTATGCATCACATTCACATAAAACTTACATTTTCAGCACACTCCAAATACAAACATACGTCAAAATCATACAAATTGGTCCAGTGGTTCAAAAGATAGATTGTAGTCCTTTGTGACCACAGGAAGCATGGCTTTTCTGCCCAAAACCAGTTCCACAGAGTCTTCTATCCTGGAGATAATTAGAAGTAATCCAATTATCTCCAAAGACAGAGGCAAAACTCCACTGAACACATGGCAGCAAAAAGACAGTAAAATACAATAAAATACACAATGTTACATTTATGACATAAAATACAGACATGCAACATATGCCCAGATAGCTTAGGTCTGAGCGCACATTATTACTGAATGGCGCTCAGAGCACACACATACAGTTCAATTGCCATGGAGCCAAAATCTTTCATTATACGAATGGGCTCCATGGCATAGCTATCTGGGGTATCACGGCTCAAACAGGGCAAGCACCAAATGACCCGGCTTTCTTGTCTTTGCAAGGGAAAATCAAGCCTTTTAACATGGGGCCATAATCTAAAGGCAACAGGCGAGCAACCAGGCTTCTCCAATGCAATGTGGCGAGATTGCTCTCGTCACAAGGACCCCTTGATATGCTGCTTACTGCGAGGTATCAAACTGTCTAGATCACCATGTCCGAAGTATACTCTGTTATGGGACGTAGATTTAGTTCTTACTTTCCTGCGAAATTGGCCGGATAATTCAGACCTTTCATTCCAAAAGCGCTCTGCCAAACTCACACTACTTTTATGCCTTGTTTCTTTTCAACGAGTCTCCAACGTTCAAAGTGGACGGGTTCTTGGTATCTCCGGATAGAGTTTCCTTTACAGTATCATGCGGAACCAAGACTAACTCTGCATCCATGTATTACCCATTTTTCCCGTCTGTGTGTGTTGGTAAGCCTTTGCATTGGTAAGGTACGTGGAGGTTACCAAAACCCTTCGATATTCGCAATCTGGTCAACTTCTCGTTTCTTATAACAGTCCATACAAACCAGTATGGTTTGTATGGACTGGGTATGTTTGCTTTTTTTTTTTTTGCCGACATGGAGCTGTATTTCAGCGCTCACTCAGTACGGGGCGCGGTTGCATCTTGGGATTTCACGGCGGGGGCATCCCTGGCCGATATTCTCTTTGCGGCAGACTGGATGCGGGAAGATACTTTTAGAGGTTTTATTTCCGTCAGACTTTGCACACGTCCTTTACTTTTTTACCACAGCGTTAAAAATGCAAAATAGGAAGCCTCCTGTCATGTAGTAAAATTGTAGATTATGCCAACGTAGTGTACCTATAATATTAATAATGACATGAGGCGAGTATTTTCCCTCCCAGGGTTTCCCCCCCTATAACTCGTCATGTTACATATAGTAGATAAAATGTATTACTGCTTAATCCTTCAATGTGATGTATGGATTCATGATATACGAATATGTTTATTAGAAATGTTCACATATTGTTTGATTAAATTAGGGTTAATATGTGGACAACAGTTCATTCCCACCACTTTTCACTTATTTCTGTTCTTTTCAGTGTAAGCTTCGTTGCTGGCCTCAGGATCGGACTACTTCACTCTTCAGCTCGAGTTATGGATACCAAAGTTATTCAAGATTTTCGTTATGGTTAGGGATGTTATTGTAGACTGTTTTCGCATCAAAGAGGAGGGAGCTATGCCTGTCAGGGCTTTATATGGAATGTATTACTTGTTTTTGATTGGTTAAAGGACCACTATAGTGCCAGGAAAACATACTCGTTTTCCTGGCACTATAGTGCCCTGAGGGTGCCCCCACCCTCAGGGACCCCCTCCCGCCCGGCTCTGGAAGGGGAAAGGGGTAAAAACTTACCTTTTTCCAGCGCTGGGCGGAGAGCTCTCCTCCTCCTCTCCGCCTCCGTTACGCCCCGCCGGCTGAATGCGCACGCGCGGCAAGAGCTGCGCGCGCATTCAGCCCGTCGCATAGGAAAGCATTTACAATGCTTTCCTATGGACGCTAGCGTGCTCTCACTGTGATTTTCACAGTGAGAAGCACGCAAGCGCCTCTAGTGGCTGTCAATGAGACAGCCACTAGAGGATTAGGGGGAAGGCTTAACCCATTCATAATTATAGCAGTTTCTCTGAAACTGCTATAATTATGAAAAAATGGGTTAACCCTAGAAGGACCTGGCACCCAGACCACTTCATTAAGCTGAAGTGGTCTGGGTGCCTAGAGTGGTCCTTTAAAGTTTTATAATTGACTTGTGCTGCTGGAGGAATAAAGTAAAGAAAGTTATGCAAAATATGAAGCCTCCTGTCATTATTAAAATTAAGATTATAGGTACACTACGTTAGCATAATGTACAATTCTCTGCTTTTTAGGAGTTAAATCACTTTGTTTGTTTATGCAGCCCTAGCCACACCTCCCCTGGTTGGGACTGACACAGCCTGCATGAAAAAAAAATTTTCATTTTCAATCAGATATAACGTACTTTAAAAGTTTTTACCTCCTGCTCTGTAAATTGAACTTTTTTTTTTCAGTGTCTTAAATTTTTATTGAGCTTTTTCATATTCATCAACTCAGAGAAAAACAGGGATGGGGGTGGGGGGGGTACAGAAAGCAAAAGGGGAGGGGGATGCAGACATTGTATAGAGCCAAACAGGCTACTTGACAGCGCAGATCAAATATACAATACAAATATTAAATACAAATATTACATGTACATTAACGCAGTGCATGAACAGTGTGGGTTAGGGATACATTGCGAGTAGGCCTAAGCTATGGTGATTTAGGATCGGATAGCATGACTTCATACTAACATATTCATCCTGTGTCAATTTGTTATAAAAGGGTACATTTGTTGGTCTAAGGACCCGTCGCTGGTCAAATACCCGAAACCCTGCTAATATGGTTCTGTGGCATATCATGGTAGGTTACCAATCCTGTCGATGTCCATGGGGCCTTTTACTACAACCGTTGCACCTAGGGTTCTAACTGCCTCATTGTCTGGCCTGTTTTTGAAGTTGACTCCTGCACTAAAGGGTTGTTGGTAGTGTGGGGTTGGTGTAGGTGAGGTAAGGTAGCGTTATGGTGTAGTTCCTCCAGGGTCCTGATGGATCATAGGGTTGGTCATTAGCCCTGTTGGCCTCTAAACTGAACCCAGCATTGCCAATGCCTAGTATATGTATGCTTCGGAGGCGGCTGGCCATTCGTTCAAAGTTGCACGTTGTGTCGAGACGTGTGAGGACTTCCGTTTTGGGCTTTGCGGTTGTTTCCATCTGTGTGCTATTGCTATTTTGGCTGCAATGAGACAGTGAGTGAGTATGTGTAGTTCGTCCTCCCTGGGTGAATGGGGGAAGATGTGGAGTAGGTAGCATTCTGGGGATTTTGGTACTCTAACCTTCAGCTCCTTTAAGAGAAACTGTTCTATTGCGTCCCAGAATTTACCTATTTTCGGACATGTCCAAAATACATGGAGTAGTGTGCCTTTGTTGTCATGGCATCTCCAGCACATGGGGGACGTGTTTGGGTAAATATGCGCTAGGCGTGACGGCACCATATACCACCTCATAAGTAATTTACAGAACGCCTCTCTATGGGCCAGGCTGTATGTGGCTTTTTTCACCCTTCCCAGAGCCCTCCGCCACGTATCTTGGCTAATTTGTGTATGTAGATCCTTCTCCCAAGAGCTCATGTATGAAGGAATTTCCTTGTCTACTATGTTCATAAGTGAGGTGTAACAAAAAGACAATGCTTTGATACCCTTTAGTTATCAAAGGAGAAATCGTGGCGATGGGGAATTCCTGCCTCTATGTAGTTTATGATCATGTAAGATGTTTTTTTATGCGTAGGTATGTGAATAGTTCCCTAGACGGGAGGGTGAAGGTCTGTTGTAGTGTTGGGAAAGGTGCCACTCCCGCATCATCGAACAGGGTGCTCACATGGAGAATGCCATGTCGTACCCATGTGTCGAGGCATAGATAATATATGTGTGGAGTGTTAGCGATTGCAGGGGTGCGGCATACAGGAGGTCTTTGCTTATAACCAATTTGAGGATCGTCTGTCTCCATATATGGAGCATCAGTTTTGTCGGAGGTAATATATTAACGTCCTTTATCTGCCGGTCTGAGTATGCCCATAGGGCATCTTCCACCGTTCCTTGTGTCATGCAGGCATTTTCTAGTGCCAGCCAGATGGGAGGTGCCGTACCTTCCAGGACCGTTAGGCCCTGTGCCAGTATTGAGGCTTTATAATATAGCTGAACATTGGGCTATTCAGGCCATTGACGTTCAGGGAGAGACATTTAAATTGGTGTGTCATTCTATAGGAGGTGATAGATCGTTATTTGGCCGCGTAACCTTAGGACATGGGCTGCTATACACCTACTCCAATGATTGTATCCGTAGTGGGTGAGATCTGTGTGATATATACGAGAGTCAGTTACCTGGGACCTAGTCAATGGCAAGCTGCCTTGGTCGTGAGATGAGTAAAAACTTGGGAAGGTTAAGGGTAAGAAAAAACAAAGTATAAACATAAATATGAACAGTACAAATAAAGTATATACATAGTACTCTCCAGTGAGAGTATAATCGTGGATGTACTGGGGAGCTGTCTAGCGCACTCCCAGAAAGCATCCTAGTAGGGGGGGTCGTGTGGAGCTAGCTCGCTCCCGAGCCTTAGTAATGTTAACAAGTAACGTTTCAGCACATTCATGCGTAGGAACGCGGTGTCAGGGAGGTATTGCAATCAATTTATTTTTATTTTTTTTTGGCCAGACTTTGCCGATGTATAACAATAAAGGATGGGGGTCATGAGTAGGCCCTAACTTTCTGAGCATGGCCTTGTACTATATAGTCTCATGGTCAGTAAGGTTTATTACTTAACGTGTCCCAGTACTGTAGACCAGACGGGTGAAGGGCTGGGTTCAGGCCCTTAGTGTCATATATTTACCAGTCTTGGCGTCTTGCCAACTGGACCCCGTTTCCCCAGCGTGTCCCCTGTAAATTTTTGGGGCTGTCAAACTACCCATGGATGGTAGTGGGTAGCATATTAGAGATATTGTTGTTTTTGCCCTCTCACGTGTCGGTCTCGTGGTGATTAGGAGTGCACACACCCTATGATTATTTTAGGTAGGTGGGAAGCGGTGGGAACTGGGATCTGGCAGCTAGGCGTCACTGCCCTTATCTGCACAATATTACACCTGTTTGGGTACCCAAGCAATAGAGGGGACGGGAACATAATGTGTACAGAGTATTCAAATAAGCTGTTGGATAAACAATACCAGTCCTGTAGACAGCTATTCGTCAGTGATCGTGAAAAGTCAATAGATGAATAGTCGGGCATCATCTTAGTGGTGTAAGTCCCTCATAATTAATCTTTAGGAACTGGTGCCTTGTGTCGGTCTAGCGTTGTGTTGTCCCACCATCTTCCATTCTGGACGGATTCACTGTGGGGAGGACCCTGGAGGTTTAGCCATGCCTTGGGGATCCCATAGGCCCCATTCCTTCAGGACGGTGAGTCTGTGATCCGGATCAGCTAACACGTGTAGTTTGCCATTACGCCATACCAGTAGCTTCGTGGGGAATCCCCATCTATAAGCCAGCTTGTGATTGCGCAGCATTTTCGTAATTGTAGAGAAGTCTCTGCGTCGGGCCATAGTTAAGGCAGATAAATCTGCATACAATGCTATACCTTCATATGGGGCCGGTAAGTTGTTCATTGCCCTCGCCGCTTGGAGGAGGGTATCTTTAGATTTAAAATAGTGATAACATCGTGTGGGATGTCTGGAGCTAAGCGCGGTGGCTTTGGTAGTCGGTGCACTCTATCAATCTCCCATGCATTGCCGCTGACTGTAGGGGCCAGCACTGCACACATGGTAGTGATGTAACTGTAGAGTTTTTCAGGCAGGACAGATTCCGCTATCTCTCGGAACCTCACATTGTTCCTTCGCGACCTGTCCTCCATGTCTGTCATAGCTTCGAATTATCAGCTTCCAGTGCTTGGAGTTTGTCGGCCGCCGCGTTGTGGGCTGAGCATAGTTCCTCCGTTTTTTGCTCCAGGTGATCAGTGCGATCTCCCAGCTCCGCAATTTCTTGGTGCATTCCAGAAATAATTGTGGTAAAGTCCTCTCTGATCGTTGATCTCAGCTCCTGGAGCATAGTCTTGATATATAATTAAGTGATGTTCCCCTCTAGTTCAGGGTCTGGGACCTGGTCGAGATCTGTCGAGCTTTCTGAGGCCTGGGCGGGAATCTCTGTACCAGCGCCATCTTGGATCATTTTGTGACGGTCCTTCTTTGTTTGTCTGGACGGGTCTGTGAGCTTCGTTTGTTTCGAAGGAGACATCTCCGTGATAGGTACGGTCCCCTTTACTCGCCTTCCGATTAGGAATTCTGTTTTTTTTTTTATATTTTTGTGCGTTATAGGGTGCTTTATGACTCGTTATGGAGCGGAGCTCTTACTCCATGCGTCCGTTCAGGCCGGAAGTCGGACACGCCCCTGTAAATTGAACTTTAATCATACATGGGAGGCTCCTGCAAGGTCTAGCAAGATATTAACAGGGCAGGAGATAAGTTCTATATTAAAAGATAATTTGCCATAAAGGAAGTGTAAACATTAGCTGACTCTTTACAGAAAGTGTTTAGGAAGGCTGTGTAAGTCATGTTATGAACAATGCAATTGAAAGATCCCAACTTATAGTTGGCAAATGAAGCTTACTAAAAAGATGGCATTTTGTTATTGACTTCTCAAACGTTACTCAGAATTTTGGCCCACTCTGTATATAGATATATTTTTATATAGTCAAACCACCTTCTTGAAGCCAGGGTTAACAAAGTAAGACAAACATATTTATAGCTCCATAACCTCATTTCGGATGGTTTGGTACAGAGCTTCATGTAACAAAAAACAAAGAAAGGAAGCCAAATGTATAAACTGGATGCAGATACATCTTTACACATTACAAGAATGAAATCCCCACCTTGTTTATCGAATCTAGGAATGTCTTCTGGACATTTTTATTTACAGAGATTTTGTGAAGGAATAAAAGAGACAAGCAGCCGAGGGTGCACCCGCAGACTAATGTCATCCGGAGCACACAATGTGGTAACTGCACTGGGGATAAAGGCAGAATACCGCCTTGGCTATTGCAAGTTTGCCTGTTAACCCCGTAAGGACTGAGCCATTTGTACAAGTTGTGATCAAAACAAAATGTAAACCTTGAATTTGGTGTTCAGGCGTAATTCACCTCTTTCATATTATGTGCACCCACACTTATAAATTATTTTGTTCAGGAAACAGGGCTTTCATGTCACATCAAATATTTGTATATTAAACAATTTAATATGAATAAAATATTTAAGAAAATTAGAAATTAAGTAATTTTATTTTTTAAATTCATCATTACATTTTAACGGTGAATGTCAAAATACGGTTTGCTTTTACTGCAATAAAATGCACATATTTGTATTCAGCGATGTCTCATGCGTAAAACAGTACCCCCTATGTACAGGTTTTATGAGGTTTTGGGAAGTTACAGGGTCAAATATAGCACGTTACATTTTTCCGTTTATACACATTGAAATTTGCCAGATTAGTTATGTTGCAGAGACCGTATGGTAGCCCAGGAATGAGAATAACCCCCATGATGGCATACCATTTGCAATAGTAGACAACCCAAGGTATTGCAAATGGGGTATGTCCAGTCTTTTCTAGTGGCCATTTTGTCACAAACACTGGCCAAAGTTCATATGTTTGTGAAAAATGCAAAAAACTAGATTGAATGCTAATTTTGGCTATTGTTTGTGACTAAGTGGCTACTAAAAAAGACTGGACATACCCCATATTGAATACCCTGGATTCACTACTTTTGCAAATGGTATGCCATCATGAGGGTAATTCTCATTCCTGGGCTACCATACGGTCTCAAAGGCAACATAACCAATCGGCAAGTTTCAACGTGAAAAAAAGGAGATTTTGAAAACACCATAAAACCTGTACACAGGGTACGGTTATACTCTGGAGAATTCGCTGAACACAAATAGGAGTGTTTTAAAATAGTAAAATGTATCACAGCAATTACAGTGGGATCTCGGTTAATGAATTTAATGCGTTCTCTGGGACGTTTCTTATTGTGAAATATTTGTAAACCGAAACACGGTGTCCCATAGGAATGCATTGAAAACCAATTAATCTGTTCTGGAGGTCAGAAAAAAGTCAAAATGAGCTGACATGGAAACCAACCCACAATGCCGAACACACAGTAAAAGGCATGCAAACAACGAAGCTCAGCTCCCTAACTTTCCACAGCTTGAGAAATGCACCAAAAAGTCCCAAAACAACTGCAAACAATTTCCAGAATGGCTCCAAAACTCGATGCAAAAGCCGCTCCAACACTTCCACAGTCGACGCCACGTGCTACCCACAGGCTCCAGCATGCAGGGGGCGGCGCTATAAACCTCCCACGTGCAATGCATCCAGGGGAAACTTGCTTTGTATTGCGAAAAAATTGTAAACTGAAGCATTATTTTCAATGGATTTTCCTTTGTAAACCGAAAATTATGTTAACCGAGGCGTTTGTAAACCGAGGTCCCACTGTATATCATCAGTCATCAGTGAAAGTACCGTTTGTGTGTGTAAAATGCAAAAAAATGAATTTTTACTTACTATATCATTGTTGTGATAGGTTTTACTGTTTTTAAAACACTAATATTTGTGTTCAGCGAAGTCTCCCGAGTAAACCAGTACCCTCCATGTACAGGTTTTATGGTGTCCTGGAAAGTTATAGGGTTAAATATAGGGCTTGCGAGCAAAATTATGGACTATCTCCTTGGTTGTCAGGCAGGTCCCTCAGATTGTAATTAATAAAATAACTTAATTATGTAAAAATATTATATAAATATATTTGTAGAATTTAAATATATATGTGCATAGATATGTGTATATATAATGTTTATTATTTTTATTTATATATACATAGAGATAGATATATATATAGATAGATATATACACATACATTTATGTCATTCTAAATGTATTTTGAATTTAATATATCAAAATACAGTTTAAACAAATTAAAACTGGTGTATAATTTATGTGTATATAAAATAGATATCTATATATCTATCTATATCTATATCTATATATATATATTCCAAGTACTTTTATTTACTTTATTAAACTTTTTATTAACTTTATAAACTCTTTTGCAGGCATTAGGGGGACTGCCTGAGAGCTCCCCTTGCAGGCCCCTGCATAAGCCGGCTATTCCAACCATGTGATCGCGAGGAGCCTGTGATCACATGGCCAGGGGTATGGCCGGATCGGGCCTGCCGTCCTTAAGGGGTTAAAGTGACACTATTGTCATCTCGCTGAAGTGGTCTTGGTGCAATGTTTACATTACAGGATTAAGTCCTACTTTAGTGTGTCACACTGAAAGCAACTAGGACACTTCCATTGCAAGTAAAACGTGCTGCACATGCGTATTAGGTCCCCAATGACCTCTATGAGAAGAAGAACTGGATATCGGCGGAGGAGGCCATGCGTCACGAGAGACCATGGCCTAACTACATATCCTCTGGTGGCACTAGCTTGGTGACACTCCCACATTATAATAACCGCACAATATCAAGCACTCTTACATCATACGGACGCCATCGCGGTCTGCATGCGTGATCTCTGCCAGTACAGCCGTCATATCAAGATTCTTAGTCATTTCCTCCAAAGCATTCTCTGGTATCATGTCTGTAGGAGAAAATTCATAGTCCAGTAACAAGGGCTCGCTGAATTATTAACCCCCCCCCCCCCCAATACTATAACAAGGGCTCGCTGAATTATTAGCCCCCCCCCACCAATACTATAACAAGGGCTCGCTGAATTATTAACCGCCCCATACTATAACAAGGGTTTGCTGAATTATTAACCCCCACCTCCGCCAACTATGTCAAGGGATAGGCTGAATTATTAACCCCCCATAATATAACACCCCCCAACTACCTATAACAAGGGTTAGCTGATTTAACCCCCCATCTATAACAAGGGGCTCGTTGGTTATTAACCCCCCAAACTATAACAAAGGCTTGGTGATTATTACCCCCAGCTACTATGGGGCTCACGATTTATTAACCCCCCAACTATAACAAGGGCTCGCTGAATTATTAAACCCCCCCCCATACTATAATACACACTCGCTGAATTATTAACCTCCCCATACTATAATACACACTCACTGAATTATTAACCCTTCTTCGCTATATAAACCCCCAAAACCATACCCAAACCTCGTTGATTAACCCCAGCCATAAAAATTGTCTTCCCAAACTAACAAAATGACAGGCAGTTACTTACGCTGGTGACCCACAATGCAGTGCGCAGCCAGCAGCTTCAGAGAGGGCACCTCAAACAAGGCCTGGTGGAAGAGCAGCTCCCGGGCAGTGGGGCGCTTACTGGGATCAGTCTCCAGGCACTTCTGGATGAATTCCTGCATAGGGAATAGAATTATAGAAATAGTGCCAACATATTCTGGATTCTCGACACACAATGCATGGATTGCAAATCAGGTTTAAATATTATAACATCATCTTTACTAAATTGTTAAGGGAGCATAGTGCCAATTTTACTTGCAGGGGTTAAACAGTTTGAGTGGTTTAATCTCGGTGCCCAGCTGCCACTCCGTACAGGAAAGGTCTGTCAAACAACTCTTCACATTCTCATCACATAAACATTAAGTTTAACCCTTGAAGGTAAGAAGGTGCCCCCTACAGCTTCACTGAGGGAATGTCTTTTAAGACTAATTTTAACATTTTATACAAGTAACTAGTATATAGCATTCTATCCATCACAATGGATTTGCGCTGCTGCTCGCCTCCTCAGCAGCAGCACCCCCCCACACAACAGCATCACTCCTCCCCACACAACAGCGTAGCTCCCCTCCCCACACACAGCAGCATCACTCCCCTCCCCCACAGCAGCATCTCTCCCTCCCCACAACAGCATCTCCCTCCCGCAACAGCATCCACTCCTCCCCCACACAGCATCACTCCCTCCCCCACACAGCAGCATCTCTCCCCTCCCCCCACACAACAGCACATCTCCCCCCCACAACAGCATCTCTCCCCCCACAGCAGCATCTCCTCCCCACAGCAATCTCTCCCTCCCCACAGCAGCATCTCCCCTCCCACAACAGCATCTCTCCTCCCCCACAACAGCATCTCCCTCCCCCACAGCATCTCTCCCTCCCCCACAGCAGCATCTCTCCCCTCCCCCCCACAACAGCATCCTCTCCCCTCCCCCACAACAGCATCTCTCCTCCCCACAACAGCATCTCCCCTCCACCCCCACAGCAGCTGTCTCTCCTCCCCCACAACAGCATCTTTCCCTCCCCCAGCAGCACATCTCCCCTCCCCCACAGCAGCCTCTCTCCTCCCCCCACAGCAGCATCTCTCCCCTCCCACAGCAGCATCTCTCCCCTCCCCCCACAGCAGCATCTCTCCCTCCCCCCACAACAGCATCTCTCCCTCCCCCACAACAGCATCTCCCCTCCCCCCCCACAACAGCATCTCTCCCCTCCCTGGCATCCCTCTCCCCTCCCCCCACAACAGCATCTCTCCCCTCCCCACAGCAGCATCCCTCTCCTCTTACACACACAACAGCATCTCTCCCTCCCCCACAGCAGCATCTCTCCCTCCCACAGCATCTCTCCCTCCCCACAACAGCATCTCTCCCCTCCCCCACAGCAGCATCTCTCCCTCCCCCACAGCAGCATCTCTCCCTCCCCCACAGCTTGGCATCTCTCCCTCCCCACAACAGCATCTCCCCTCCCCCCCACAACAGCATCTCTCCCCTCCCACAACACCCACAACAGCATCTCTCCCCTCCCACAACACCCACAACAGCATCTCTCCCCTCCCACAACACCCACAACAGCATCTCTCCCCTCCCGCCTCCCCGTTCCCACCGCAGCGTTTTGCCTCCTCCCCTTCCACATTTGCCAGCGTTTTGACTCCAGCCTATCTTTGAAGAGAATTCAAGACATAAGGTTAAAGTGCACAGATTGGAACTCACTCTCTGTAGTGGATCCTCCAAGAATTGGATGGCGTTATTTATAGCCTCTTGAGGAACATACGATGACTCCCCATTACCCTGGATCTCTAAGACAGCCATCTGCAGAGGAAACAGAAAGAGAAAGGTGATATGAATCCATATAAAGACTGGGAGATAACAAGATAAACGAGGAGGCCGGAGGTAGCAGCTTAGGAAGCCGGCAGTAGACATGAACTGCCAGCCTTCTTACTCACTCATGAGTATAGATAATAGGTATGGAGGCCAGCAGCGCAGGGGTTCACCAGCCAGGCAGCCGGCAGGGCAGGGGTTCACCAGCCAGGCGGCCGGCAGGGCAGGGGTTCACCAGCCAGGCGGCCGGCAGGGCAGGGGTTCACCAGCCACTAGGCCGGCAGCGCAGGGGTTCACCAGCCAGGTGGCCGGCAGGGCAGGGGTTCACCAGCCAGGCGGCCGGCAGGGCAGGGGTTCACCAGCCACGAGGCCGGCAGCGCAGGGGTTCACCAGCCAGGTGGCCGGCAGCGCAGGGGTTCACAAGCCAGGAGGCCGGCAGCGCAGGGGTTCACCAGCCAGGAGGCCGGCAGCGCAGGGGTTCACCAGCCAGGAGGCCGGCAGCGCAGGGGTTCACCAGCCAGGAGGCCGGCAGCGCAGGGGTTATCGAGTCAGGAGGCCGGCAG